TATATATACATGTGTGTGTGTGAGAGTGTGTGTGTATATATATATATATAATAAGAATTAAATGTCGGATAAAAACTTAATTCCAGCCCACATAAAAATAATAATAATTGCATTTTTACTACTTTATAAGTGTATGCATTTTACTGAAAATCACATTGTCCAGTTTGTTCCTACGGGATGCTGTGTAAAGCTTGTGTGATCAAGCAAAAGTAACCAAGGGGGTCAGTTTATTTCTGTCATGTTAAGAAAATAGTCATTTAATCTCAACATTTGCAAAATATTCATATAATATCGGTGAAGAAAAAACTAAAACAAACATCACAACATTACCTTCTGCCAGTTCGAGTTTCTGCTGTACAAGAAGTTGATCAATCTGTGTTGGAAAAAGGAAATAAATGTAAAAAACCCTCTTTAGGACTTTGGATGGCATGATAATCGTGTTTAAAGTGTTTCCAAAGTTTTACACATTCTTCCAAGAAGTGGGACATTTGTTGTGGCATTTCAAAGCCCAGAAATGCAACGCAAGCCAAGTCACCATTTCCTGAGAAGATACTTTCTCATCTTGCAAAAAAAGATTTCATCACTGCCTACAGTGGTATACAGAGCTGTTCATATCCAGCAGTAAAGCTCTACCTGGGTCAGGTACTCCAGTCCTGGTGGGCAGCCAGCGGGTCTTTGTGGAACTGGCATCACAGGCACTTGACCTTTCAAAAGGAAGAAAATGACGTGTTAAACAGCAGGATCTGAGGATTATGAAAATTCCAAATTTCCTTAGATTTCCTTACCTTGGCCTGGTATGGCTGGTCCCTGGTTAAAAGGAGGGGCGGGATTACTTGCATTTTTCTGTGGTTGGATGTCAATTGGGTAACCTGGTTTAAAGAATATCAAAGAACATCAATTGACATTGTTCTCACTGCCATGGGTGTTTCTTTGAGTTACATACTGTATAACAGCAATTTAACAGAGTGCTGTCAGGATCAGGTTGTTGATGATAAGGTTTTGACACACTCACCATTATTTGTTGTCATGGTGGAAGGCTGCAAATTACACTCTGCAAACACGCAAACCAGAAAAGCAAGTTAAGCAAATATTTTCCTGTATGTTTTTTCCATGCTTTGTGGGGAATGGAATTTCAGCAGCCCAAGATTTTCATAGCCAGTGAATCCTCAAAAAAAAAAAATAATTAAATAAATAACCCCGGGATGGAATTAATACACAATATTCAGGTTGGAAACACCTGTGAATTGCCCGGGAAATAACCGGGAAGTTGGACTGCAGGTACAGAATGCAAACCACATATAGTCTTCCTAAACACATTTTAGGATAATCCACTTGAATACAAGAGGTTTGTAACATTAGTTATTATACCATGTTTATAATTGTAATAACTGATATAAACTGCAGCGTTTTGTACTTAAAGTAACCAGTACACCATAATGCATTCATAACAAAAATACACAGAAAAAAAAAGTTAATTCATACGTTCATATTAATTGAACATATTTTGAAGACATTTAAGGAGACCAAATATTACCAAATTAACAATCAGTCAGTTATTTAGATCATTAATAACTGGATTACTCAGTGAGCCACATCATTATAGACATTACATCATACAATAACACAAAGTATTAAAGATGACCAAACAAACAAACACATAATATATTATTATTTACTACTTTCCACTGCTTACTACAGTTTTAGTGAAGAAATAGTATGCATAAATTAATAACTGACATAATCTATGACACAACATGATAATTCTATGAATCCAGAGGGTTAGAAACTATACTGTAACGTAAACATGCAATTGTTATTTTAAGGATATATTTTTAGCTGATTTCTATGCTACTTCGTTTATGTTTAACTTAATCCGACTTATTCGGTCTTAGTTTTGACGTTACAGGTTAACTGACAAAACGTTTTTACAGTGTAGCCTATGCTGCAGTAATTTAATATGCCAAGTGCCAACAACTCACCTGTTACTTGTTCAAAGTGAAGTGCTGTGGATACTGATGCCGTAGATGAGGACGGTTCTTTTTTTTTATATATATTATTATTTTAGTGGGGGACAGTAACACAGAGCTGTTTTCTCTTCGCTCTTTATCTGCCTCACACACAATACATAAGTTTCCTTCCCAGGAAACAATCTGCTTCTGCTCACAAACACACCCCTTACAAAAAAACGAAAGAGATTGAGCAGGAGTGTGGGGTATGGGGGTTTATTATTGTGATTTTTTTTAGATTACGTCAAATGACTCGTCTGGCTTTTTCCATGGATGTAGACAGTTATGTAGGCTATGTGTATGGAAATTGTCAACATATATGCCAACGTTTTCGAAACCGACTACGTTTTTCTTTCAGGTGTATTCAAAGCTTCTGCTTCTGCCTTTTCAGAAACCTTTTCAATACATTTCTTAGCTTTTTTTACTATTCGATGTTTCACTTCCCCTTTATTTTTTCATGTTTAGAAATGAGATGAGCCTGGACATGCAATCTCACAATCCACCCATAATTGAAAGAGCTTATTAAAACAACTCATAGTGGAATACAAAGTTGAGGCAAAGGTTTATACTTTAAAAAGGCAGAAATGAATGGCCTTTTGCCCCTTAAGTACTGTCTTGTATTTACATAAAACTCTTTATTTTCAAAAGGTTTAATCATT